GGGAACCGGGGTCGGAACTTGAAGATAAAGTTGCTTCTGTGATATGCTATTGTAATTTGTGTTGTACGTACTCGAGTTGTATTTAGTTTTTAGTATTTTGGTTGGGGATAGGTTGAGGATATTGTGGATTGGAGGTTGAAGATTGGAGATTGGAGATTGGAGATTGAGGGTTGAGGGTTGAGGGTTAGAATTTAGAGTTTTATGTGTAGGGACTAAGGAAGGAAGGATATATGGATGAATGGTTTTAGTGTTTAGAGAAGGAGAAGGAGAAGGAGGAGAAGCGAAAATTTATTATCTTAATTCTTAAAGGGATTTTATTCTTAACGCACTACTTACCTATCAAACATCGAAACCTCAGCTATAGAATCTATTAAAAACTCTACTACTGGCATATGAAGCGCGGCAATCAACATATTTATCATGCACAGAGAATGATTAGCCATTAGAGATACAATCTTAATTTAGGGGATGGATTCTTCGAGGTATCTACTCAAGAATTCTAAGCATACAGTTAGCTGCAATGGGATTTCACAGACCTAGTATACTTAACCACCATCAGCCATTTCAGATTGCTAATGACAGGTTGCTTTCTAGCATGAGTACCGAGGAGGCTCCCAAAATTGGAGAACGACACTGTTACGAGAACTTACCGAGTTTTAAAACTCACTCTATCTTTGAGACTTCACCTCTTGAGATTCTTGTCGATATCACAGTCAACACTGGCAGAGAACTTGAGAACTTCGAAATAAGTAAGGTCTTTAACAAAGTATTTCTTCAGCAATCGATACCTATTCATTGTTACAAGAATCCATTCAGCATCGCTCATCAGAAACTTTGTTCGATATGACGAGTAGGTAGGTTAGGTCCCTTTTGAACTTTGTTTAATTATGGCTGCTTATCCCCTTTTTGCTATTTTCAAAATCTTATACTGATAATATCCTTAGTTCTAACGTATAATCCTGCCGAAACTTATGACTATAGCATGTTCCAACCGCTTATTGATATCGATATTTGGTGCTAGAATTAGAGGCTATTTATTTGCATTGAAGATCAGTGAAGCTTCCAACACAATTCTTTCGGAACATTTGATGGCCTCGATATCGAGGGCAGTTTTGTGTATGGTTATTAATAGGCGGACTATGAAACTAGGTGTGAGATCTTTCGGGCGGGAAAAGCTTAAGGTGTAAATGTTCGAACTTCAAATGCATTTTAATTTTCAGAAGACGTTAGATCTTGCGGATGACTTCAATGGTTCAAATTGGTTGAGCATGGAAATATTCATCACTATCACCGAGCATCTTTCTGCGAATTGCGATGGCTTGACTCTATTATGCTCACCTCTAAATTGGCGTTGCAATCTTTTTAGCAGGGTGATTGTTTCAGCAATGGTTCAAGATGGGTATAAAGTTCTTGAAGTAGTAAGAGGGGATTATATCTGAGAAGTTGTATCGTACATATACAGCTTGTTAATCCTAGAATCCTAAATAATCATTCTTTAAAAGGTTATCATATGCTACTCAGGATAGACGATAGACACTCCTAAATATATCTATGTTTACAATAAATTCGTTTGCCATATTAGTGATCTAAAGTGAGTTTCCTGGTTCGCACATGTACCGCAGAGTAAATAATCTTTTAGCAAGATCCAAGGAAGCACTTTGGATTCAATACATGAGAGTTATGATACACTCTCAAAAGAAGAAAAGAGATACGACTTTCCAGGGGATCTTGATGGAATTAATCAATTTTCCAAAAAAACGTTGATATTTTCGATAGGAAAGGATGACTTGCCACAGTTTATTAAATGCAAAATCTCGCTAAAATAAAGCCATCAAGATTCTAGAATCTTCAAGTAATACTTTGAGTGATTCACAAGCAGAGGCTATATGTGAGTCAAGTAATATGACTTTCCACTCCACCGTCTTAGATTTCTTATTTCGGCGCACCAAAAGAATTTGAGTCTTAGTGATAGTACCTGGTGGAAATGGTAGAATCATTGTGTAACGAATATTCAAATTTTCCAATATACTTTCCAGATTTTGGTTTTGCAGAAGTAGAGGAACTCGCTGTACTCCAATTCAGCCAAATGGGATATTATCCAGCAAGCATAATACAAGGTTATATTAAGGCTTGGCAGACAGAATAGACAATTCATCAACTACCACCGTTCTGACTCCCACTACCCTGGCCTCCACTACTCCGAGAGTCATCCGAAGAACTCCAATTACTTTCTCCTTCCTGTCTTTCCTCTCCCTAATCTCTCTCTTCTCCTTCCTTTCACCCCTTCTCTTCTAACCCATCCTCATTTTCAGATGGAGGGCTAGGCGGACTTGATTCATCTTCAGAAACATAGAACTCATCATAGTAGTCAAGTACGCGAACAAGCCCTTTTGGTGCATGGCTAAAAACATGGGAGTCAGTAATACGACCGGGGTGAAGAGAAATCAGTGATACGCCTAAAAAGATATATAACATACGAAACACGCGGTAATTTCTTTTCCTCCAATGATTCCCCACTATCTGTCATTCGTTCTGTACTTTCAATTGCTTCCCACAAAAAGTACTCAAACTGGCCCCAAACAAGGATTTGATATTTAGGTTTAAGGGCACCAGGAAATTCGAATGGATTGTCAGACTCGCGCCAAGGAAGAGTTTTCAACACATCGCGCTTGAATTTCACATAGAAGAATAAATGTTCTTTATCGGCGTCGGGTAGGTTATCCAAAAAGGCAAATCTCTCGCTCTCTCTCAGGTAGAGCAAATCGTGTACAAATTCTTGGTATGCCGCGGCCATTAACGACGGTCGATACCAAGATGCCCAATCGGGTGGCATAGGTGGTTGATCACGCTTCAGTGATCCGTTTAAAAGCTCTTGTGGCCAACCTTCCCATCGTACTACTAGACTTCCAAGATTGCCAAATTGAGTCGGATCATATCTATACAGCAAAAGGAAAATTAGCAAGGAACTTGTCAAGCTGGGGTGAGACCATAACGCCAGGCTTTAATCGATGCTTTGTTAGCGGTTTAAATTTTCTGAGGATTCTCGTGGTTCTTGGAGGTTCTTCACATTCCTGTGAAAAGGAAAGATATGGGGGGATGTACTTGAATAGACACTTTTCTTCCTCTGCAACAGCCAAAAACCCTCTCCATTCATCGATAGTCAGTTCTATTCCCCCGTGACTTTGAATGTATTGAAGCATGAGCATGATGGGCATCTGAAACTTAGTAGTATCCAAGGCAAGTGGTAATGTATTTGCAAAGAGATATTCTCTTATTTCTTCGAATCTTGGACAGGGAGGGGGAGCTTTGGGTGAAATTTCTTCGACGATTCTTAAGAATTTCTCGGTAATACTTGTCGAGGCAACCCACGCGGGCCTCCAGTTTCGACGAACTTCGGAAAATTGAAATTCCCGGAGATATCTTCGAACTTCCCATGACTTCAGGATTAGTTCTCCGATCCTATCAATGATGACTCTATGGTCTTCGTGTGATTTGTCTTTGTTGGTGTTGGGGGCCAGATCATCACTGGCAGGCATTTTGATCGAACTCTCTCCGGGGTACCAAGTAGAATTAAGGTTCAGTCTGGTCCCTATAGGTTGAGTGAAATGGGTACTGTTGGGTCCATACCTGGCAATGCAGTCCGTCAAAATACGGTTATAATATCTAGCTTGCTTTCTACTCACTTTCGTATATTACACGTCCAATAATCTTCTATGAATAATCGCACTATTTGTGCAGCTGGTATAGGATAACTAAATCTAGTGCGCCAATCAGGTGGCTTTAAGTCGGCCTGGGGAATTGAGGAGAAAGCGCGGCAGAAGGACCTGTCACACCATGGCTATGGATTCGAATTGTCAGCTGTGTCTGGGAAGAAGTATTTGTATACATACGTTCCTATAAAGAATATGTCAGCGGCGTTTCAGAATAATTATGTGGGTAACTAACACTTTGGATTTGAAAGCATCAGAGACTGCCGGAGTTCTGAAATCTCTGGACATACCACTGTCAATTCTACCGCCAAACATCTAGGAACCAATCAGTACAGTTAGGCCATAGATGATACGAGAGTTCTACCACAAGCTCATGGATGAATCCTCTTCAAGTTCTAGTTAGCCCGCTGTCGCATCCCGCATACTTCGCAGGTACTACTTACAATTCAGGTATAGGATCAGATTCAAAATAGGGCTCATCTTTACAATGATCACCGTGAACTGATCTATATTCGGGTATCCGAAAATGCCATACCAAATGGGCTATTTCATGCAGTATTGTGCATGCCACACTATGTCTATCGAGGAATTTCTCCGCAGGAGTATTTTTCGGATTCAACAATGGCTCGAGAGATTGGAAAGCAAGTTCCAAACGAAACTTCCATCGTGGACCACAAAATCCTTTCTCTGAAATGGATCCATAACTAAAGATCTCATCGACATCCTCCTTGCCATTCAAAAGCACGATATCGAATTTCCCGGCATGGCTGCGGAAGAAGTCCTCGACTTCGCTGAATCGAGGGAACGCATGCAAGTCGAAACTTAGAGCTGGGTTTGATACTTTCCCGCCCTGCTTGGTCAGATAGGTCTTCTTGAAATTATGTGGATCGTCCAAAAGCGCTGTCCACCTAAGATTATTAGACGGTTGAATCAAAGTTTTTTATACAAACATACCATCTCGCCCAATTCGAGCTGGAAAAAAAGAGCGTAGCAACTCGCAAGCATGGAGCTAAAAACTTGCCAAACAACATCATTGCTAGCCTTAGATATGTTAATATGATTAGCCTATGGCCCCTAATGTTTTCAACATATAATCACCTCCCAGTATCCCGGTTTTCCACCCCCAAGCTCATATTTGGTTTCATTTAATCCAAGGGATATCCAATTTTCTCGCGTGAGACATGGATGTATTGGAGTGTTTTCTAATGCTATAACATCATCAATATTACTCGTGCATCCCAATGCCCCCAATTCATCAAGCTCCGCTGTAGTAAAGCCAACTAAATAGATTCAACTACCGTGTTAGTCAATGCGCGTACAATTCTATTCAATTCCGAATCAACATACATTATTCTCCCCATCGTAGTCTTTGATATGCCCCCAATCCACGATATTGGTCTTTTTCTGCCTGAGAGGCATTCTTGTCGGGTGTTTTGAGCGGCGTTAATCCAGACTTGAGAGGGTAGATATTTTTAAGCGCGGCGACTTCATGAGCAGTGTACCTTTCAGGGTCCCCAAGGGTGGTATATTTCGGGCTTTGGACTCCTCTCTGCCTCTTCCGTGGTGGTTCATCAGCCATATTTGAGGTTTTACGGTATATTCTCCTGAGAAGGTCGTCGGGAGGGTAATCGTGTGGTAATATGTTTCAAAATATAACACCAGGCTTGATTGACACTGTTTACCTTTCGTGATTGTGACCATTCTATGTAAAGTATGCTTTGTTTCGGTGACGGGCGCGCACTAGAACTACCAAGAACAGAAATCCACACCGCCGAGGCTATATTATCAAAGACAAAAATACCGTGGATAAAGAAAAGTCCGGAAAGGGTGGTATTCCTTCAACAAAATTGTGTTTGTTGAAAGGGTTCGTCCAGCTTATGTAAGCGCTTATCTGCAAAATATACGACAGACTCAGATACTATATGGATATTCTCAGCTTGATATATAGGAGCATTAACCGTACCCTTTATATTCCAAGTAATTTCTCCAGCCAAAATCCCTGACTTCAGTATGTTACAAAAGACTCACTTTCAAGCCAGCGAGAGTACGCACATATCAAAAATGCCACATTGTCACTAGAACGGGGCAAACATATTGCTCAACCAATCCAGAATTTTCCAATATAAGGTTATATCAGAAGAATGGTCTAGCTGACAATCTTGGTAAGATAATCTTCAAGTGCTTTGTTTATTAGTGTCCGGTCTGCGGTATTCAAGAAATAGGACATGATACAAATTTAGATATTCTTATTCTTTCATTTTTTAAAGTAAGACTCGTGAGAAAATGCTCATGCTCATAAGTGATGCTCCTCCTTCCCGCAATTTAAGCGAGTAAGAAAGTGGGTGGCAAGGGGGTGCATATATAGTAAGGATAATGAGGTGGTTGAAGGGTGGTTGTGACTCGGAGTGCTTGGTAGAATAGACTATTGTTTGACATTGTGGTTTTCATAGCATGGATCTATGGCTCTTGAAAGCCATCAAAAGTTGAAAGTAGTGTATATCTCATCGATATTTCCAGCTAGTTAATTAGCGGCTTCGTGAGTAATGATACACTAGAAATAGAGGGTCCCAGCTGGGCCTCAGATGCTGTCTTATTGTTTAGCGTTGAGGTAAAGGTAGATATTGAAGAGTATCATCTTTTATATATATCTGGGACATTAATTGATTGTCTGGATGTAGATACGAACTATGAATAGTGGAGTGAGGTGACTGACCTCTGTCTGATACCATCTCATCATTGAACGCAAGTTTGTATATTCAAAAGTGTCATCTCGTATCAAGGCCTTGGACCTCATCTCAATGTACAAGCCAGACTCATATACTCGTATCGAAAAATGGCATACCAAGTAATGGCATTTGACTTACCAACTCAAAAATGTGGAAAGTACTTATACATCGAGCCCGGAAACAAACACAAACTCGAAATAAATCTCTTCACAATTCCCAAAGTAAACGTATATGAATGAAAAACTTGATCCTTGCATTTCGACACTGGACTCTAACCCCGCCAATTGCCTCTACATACTCATGAAGCGAGAAATGTTTTGGTGGCGTGTTCCTCATATCACTCTTCTCGAATGTTCAGATCAATTCTGTCTTACACCGAACAATTTACCATACCACTCAGCAGATCCTCCTCAACCCGCTAAATTTCTGCCCCGGCAACTTCTCTGCTCAAAGTGTACTAGTGTAGCTAGCCTGCATGTAATACACACATTCAGGAAAACAAGGATACGAATAGTATTGTAGCGAATGATAAAGCACTAATCCTGGATTCTGAACCAATGACTCTTCCCATTGTCCAGGAATATATATGAGAAATCTTCAATTTTTGAAAACACTTCCATTGATGTCCAAATATAATCTCAAATAGAGTATGTTGCAACAATCAACAAAATATCGTTTGAAGGTTGCAGCTTTTATAGATTATTCGACACCAATCAATGAGATTACATTACACCCGCACCCAAGTCAGCTCAACTCATCAGATGAGTTATAAACACAAAACTCAAAGCTCTTCTTTCCCACCTCAAAACTCCCCTCACGAGTCACAAAGCCAGTCACCAAAACCCAACAACTTTGCCATTATCTATCCATGCATAGAACACTCAGCTTCAAATATCCCAAAAGACTCATTCCCAACGAGCCCGTTCGCTTGGTCTATATATATCGAAATATCATCACTGCCAAAAAAAAAGTAAGGTTAATTATACAAGTAATTTACAATTTGCAGAGCTGTGAATCGGCAATATAGATGACTAATTATCTTCATTACAAGCAATTTCACAAAAAGTCCCAGTATATCCTAGGATACTTATGTGTACGAGTAGAAGAGATGACCCATATTCGTTCAAATTATGTATAAATTTATGGTAAGAGAGATGCACCACTAAAATGCAGTAGCATCTTCACGGTTTGAACTTCACCTTCTTCACCGAGTTGAAAAGTCTTTGCATCGTTCTGCATATCGCTCGCTGGGTTACCTATATCAATATTCGATATTCAATATTCAAAGATTTAAAGTAGCTTTCATCATTATCCCGCACCATTTTCGATATGATAATGACATAAACCCCATAGCATTAGCATAGGGAATTCCACGACGAAACTTCTCGTGGTGGCCGAGTCATCTACATCAACATCACTTCATCGATAGAATCGCTTTGATTATATCAATAAAAAAGTTCTACTGTATAATCAAAAATGCCAAGCAACAACTCTGTCTGTCTTGTATACTCGAGTAATATCGCCTAATAGACATTCGAAACACTAATTCCAGAATCCAGACCCCCCCCCTCAGGACCAACACTACTGGACTTTGAAGCAGCTGGTAAATATTATCATATACTCGAGTACTCGTATACTACTTATCAAAACTTATCGTATTCACCCAAATGAAAATGGTAGTTAGGATGGATGCCAATCTTGCTATTGGCCTGGTTTAAGGAGAAACATGTAACGCAAGGCAGTAAATGAAGTCGTTGACAGTGTAACAAGTGGTTGTGTATAAATGTTATACACTCGTCTATAGCAACTTCATAGTACTCCTAACGTTCTTGAGGATATTTTTTGGATTTCTCAATCTTGCTGGTGTGATGTGGTCAGTCATGTAGAGAAATGGCCAATACATTTATTATCAAAGGAAGGCACTGCCGCAGAATAAAATCTACATTGCAACTCATATCACTATTTACCGAACATATGGGGCGCAAATGGTCAGCAATGTAGGCGAAATTTTATTGTTTTTCAATAGCAAGGATATCATCGGGAGCCTTTCAACTCTGCCTCAACCTCTTCCACGACGATTTCTCTGACTTTCTCCCAACCCTTTTGTACAACTCTCACTCGTCTCTCCTTGTCTTCCAAACCGATGAACTCTTTTGGAAGTACTGTATCGAAATCGAAGCTCTTTTCGTCCTTTAATGCAAGATCAACAGCATTCGCAAACTTGGCAGGATGCGCCGTTGCGAGGGAGATATGATATGCCTCTGGCGCACGCGAGATGGACCGTAATGAAGCAGCTACACCAATTGCCGAGTGTGGATCTAAAACGTATGATCCACTAGTATAGAAACTCTTAATCGTGTCGATGGTTTGCTTGTCGCTAACTCTCTCGCTGTCGAAATCTCTGTTCGCGGCCTGGAGGATTTCGTCCTGGACGTTAAATCCACCTTGCGTTTTCAATTGCTTAAGCCAAGCTTCGACTTCCTGACCGGCTTGCTTTTTATTCCACTCTTCATCCATACCAGCGGCAAATGCGAATTCGTAGGCCAAAAACCACAGCAGTCGCTCAAAGTTACTTGAGACGAGAATATCCATAGCAGGGCTGAGAGTCTCTTTGACGCCATCTTCATGTGCCTTGACCCCGTCCTCAGCAATTCCCCCTTCAGCTTCAACGCCGTGAACCGCTTTCTTCTCATAGTGACCTGTCTTCCAAAAGCGGTACAAGATGTCGTTCTCATTGGTTGCAATAACAAGCTTTTCAGCTGGTAGCCCCATGCGCTTTGCGAAATATCCAGCCAAAATATCACCAAAGTTACCAGTAGGGACTACAAATCGGACTTTATTTTCGGGTTTGTATGAAGGTAACTTTTGAAGAGAGAAGTATGCATGAAAGTAATATGTGGTTTGTGCTAAAATTCTTGCCCAATTGATAGAATTCACAGCTCCGAGGTTCATTGTCTCGTTGGTCTGCGGGTCCGCGAATAAGGCTTTGACGGTATCCTGAGAATTGTTAGCCATTTCAAACGCAAAGAGATGTAAAACTCACTTGGCAATCATCAAAAGTTCCTTCAACAGCCAAATTGTGTACGTTGGCATCCAGAACCGTAGTCATTTGAGCCTCTTGTACGGGACTGACTCTACCCTTTGGGTGTAGAATGAAGACCGAAACATCCTTCTTGCCTCGCAGACCATAGATAGCTGCAGATCCAGTATCACCACTTGTAGCCCCGACCACTGTAAGATGGTGTCTATCTTTTCCCTTCTTGCCCTTATTCCGTCTAACGAGGAAGTATTCGAAAAGGTTTCCAAGTAATTGTAATGCGACATCTTTGAATGCAAACGTGGGACCATGAAACAATTCTAGAAGGTATAAATTATCTTTCTCCTTGAGAGGAACGAGGGGCGTGGTTTCCGGGGCGCGAAATGTTGAGTAACTTCGATTTATGATGTCTTTCAAATCTGCAGATGGGATTTCCGAAGAAGAGATGTAGAGGGAAAGTATTTCGAATGCGAGATCAGAGAATGATAGATCCTTCCATTTTGATTCCCAGTTCTCAGGTACTGATGGGATCTGTTCAGGAATGAATAGTCCTCCGTCGGCAGCGAGACCTTTTAAGACGACTTCTTCGAATGATAGGTCATAAGAACCTCCTCTGGTAGATAAATATCTTTGTGATGGAGTGTGGTCAGTCATGATCATTAATTTATATGGCAAATGGGTATGAATAGCATCAATTGAGATAAATATTGACTGAAAGAAGGATGACCTGAAATAAATTATTACTATCACTCCGGCTTCGGGGACAATTCCCCGCTATTTAGCGTGCCCTCCACAGCCCTGCCAAAAATCTCCGCTCGGCGGAAGTCTTTCAACAACCAGTCAATATCAAACGTGGAGTTTTTTTTTGTTGATATATTTGTTCCATCTTTGTATTTTCGGATAAAGGGGTCTTGTGGAAAGGCTCATACGATTGCATTTTTATCTGGAGGCTCTTCCTGGACCAGCCTCAAATCCAACATCAGACTGGACTCACTGAAGACGATGAAGTGCTGTAAACCATTGACGGGAATCACAGGAAAAGGTAAAGATATTATTGTGTGATTGATACTTATTTCCAAGTATCCGTACTTCAGTCAATCGATATAGAAGTATCAAAAAGATACAAACTACTTCAAATCTTCCTCGTCACACAATCCCATCATGGCACAAAATATCCACAACCAAGAGGATTTCTTCAAGGCATATATTCAGTTTCCACGCTCCGTCCATGGTTTGTAAACGGCTCCTGGGTTTCAAGTGCTACGTTCTTGGCTACTCTGTCTTGAAAGATCAAATTTTCTGGATCTCGGATGCGGCTTTGTTTGGGTGTGTAGATGAACACGAGAAAATGGTGCAAAATTCTTTGGAGGTGTGGATGTGTGGATGTGTCCGAAGATATGTTATCTCGAGCGAGAGAAGACCCTGAAGACTCTGCTATCACTATTGCAAAGTCGACATGCATGGAAAATTTGCAGATATCTCCAAATATGTTTCATGCTACTTATAGTTCTTTGGTTCTTCACTACATTGTGAATCTATCAGCTCTTATCGATTATGTCTTTGGATCATTGAAGCCCAGAGTGACATTTGTATCTAAGATGCGGAGAGTCATGACGTGTGGCTGTCAAATGGATACTTAATCAAAGTAGACCATCTTTACTAGTGAAAACTACGAATAGATGAGTTGAAATATTACAATCTCGGAAAAATGGCATTGTTATCTTCATTGAGGGCTTTGAAAAGTAAAGTAGAGGTTGAATGACGGGCCCTTCAGGGCTGGCTGTTACAGGGGCGTCTAGCTGTATGTAAGCACTAAGTAGCTGTCGCATTCTAAGCTAATTCACCCATCTCACTAACTTCAATCCCCAAATCCATTCATTCGTTCACATTATATTCTCACGACATCGTGCTGGCAACCCATTAGCTGTGATGTGCTGTCATGATGTTCAATTCGTTCCGCGCAGATTATCATGGCTGGTTAGAATTCAAAGAAAAGGCTCTTCCTAGCAACATATTTGGCTACCTACTTGTCCAATACTTCCTCCAATATTTCAAATGCAAACCCTTCGATACTACAAGTTACGAAGATCCCAAAGAGATCGCAAAGTGCGGGGCACTTGGCCAACGAAGCTTTTTGAAAGACCAATTACCAATTAGAGATGGGCCTAGGCCCAAGATGGGGAAAATGGGTAGTTCCTCACAGACAAGTCAACCAATTCGGAGGGAAAGATATGCATCAGGTACTGCTCTAATCTCTGGTCCGAACTGGAAAAAGCTTATAAGCAGCTTATCGATCAAACCATCATCGACCTGACCAAGATCTACTCCAATCATATCATTCTCAGCACATCCGCCCTTGAGAAAAACGGCGACGCCCTCATAATCGCAGACAAGATCCCAACGCCCCATCTCCCGGCTAAGAAAACGAAGCGCGAAATCGCACATGTTCATACGGAAGGAAAAGGAAAAAATGTGGATTATTTGATGCACGCAGTGTTGGGTCCGAAGGATGCTAAAGAAGTGATTGAAAAAGGATGGGGGGAACGAATGACGCTAGCTGGGACGTTGAAAATGCCAGTTGGGTATCTTATGGTTTATACACCGAGATCGGAAGCGGAATTGAGAATCGTGAGAGATGTTTTGGAGGCGGCGATTGGATTTATGACGGGTGCGGAAAGATCAGTGGGAGAAAGACGGGAGGTATGAAGTCGAGTCCCTGGTGAATAGGGAGGGTATCGAGTCAAGGGAACCATGTGATAAATGAATGACTATATGGTCCAGTCATATAATCTAGATGTATGTATGTATATCTGCATACTTGTGGCAATGGAAAATCAGATCCAGCCAATTTTCTCTACTTCTACACTTACAACACCCAGCAACAGTATATCGAGCAATCAACACAACCACCCATCATCACAAGTCACAAAATCACAAATCACAAATCCAGGAAATAAACAAGGCAGATATTACTCGAGTACAACCCAAAGCTTCAATCACAAAGTCTGAATCAAAGAATATCTATTCATTTAATCACTAGTTCCTCGAGAGTAATTATAAGAATAGCTACCTACTGCTACTCTTACTGCGTTATTTTAATTTAATTTAATCTAAACTCACTATCAAACCATCCGACCTTTCCTTTTCATTACTGTTCGTTCCTGTCAGGCTTGCGCCGTTCATGTATGTACTGTGTTTCCTATCCCGTCCTATCCTGTCCCATCCCATCATGTCCCATGCTTTCCCTTCATTCTCTCCTTCAGAGTACATAACATGTTAACTCATCCGACCAAGCCGCCAACCCAACCCAACCCAACCCAACCAATGCACACGCTCGCTGTACAAAAATGCAAAGATAAAACACAAAATCCCTCAGTCCACCCACACAATTTTTTCAATTCCCAATCATCCAATCATCCATTGACCAATCGCCCAAACCGCAAATCATCAAAATATCAAAAGAAACGAAAACCCCCCAACCAATCAAACCCATCACCATTTCCCCCCCTCAAGAATCCAAAGGATAAGGATGATACTTCCCATCATTCGGGAACAAATCATCCACACCAGCACCCACACTCCCCCCACTACTCCCCCCACTCAACCTAGACCCCCTCGTCCCACCCGAGATCGATATCCCCACATTAACCGGTACCTCCCCCCTCACATACGGCACCTCCTGGCGCTCCCTCTCCCTCCTCCCCGTATATGTCCCCGCCGACATCCCATTCGCAATCCCACTCCCATTCCCATAACTAACACTAGCCCTCCTCACTCTCCCCGCATTCGCATTCGCATTCGCACCACTCCCCACCGAACCCAACGGCGTAAACGGATTATGCAATTTACTAGAAGAAGCAGCCGGCGGAGTACCCGAAAGACGTTTTTCGCGCTCTTCGAATTCGTCGCGATATCGAGCACTAAAACCAGAACCAGGATGCACAGTCTTCACATCATAATCGTACAACGGGGAAGAAGAAGAAGGAAGTGGAGCCGGCGTATCCCGATAACTAGTCCTGCGTTCTCGCGCTAAGTGTTGCGAACGCAGACGTTCTTCTTCCCTCATTCGCGCTTCCAAATCGCGCTCTTTTTCTCGCCGTGTCATGGGTGGTGTGTTGCGTTCTACTATGGTTACGGGTATCCGGTCGCTTTTTTCTTTTTTCTCAGGTGTGGTATGGAGATCTGAACCGCGGATGCGTATCCCGTCGCTTTCTTTGCCCTCTCGGCCATCTTTGGCTCGACTCTTTTCTTTTCTCATTTCATCGATCGTGCGCTGAAGATCCTCGGCTTCGCGCCGGAATTCGCGTTTCTCGCGGTTGCTTTCTGAGAGATCATTTTCGAGGTTGAGGTTCTTGAGTTCGAGTATTTGTACTCGTTCTTTGAGGGTTTGGACTAATTCGTTGAGAGCACCTACGTTGCGTCGCTGCTCGTCGCGTTCTTTGTCTGTGTAGAAAGAGGTAGAGTTTACCTGGGCAGTGGCAGAGTTGGAGGAGGAGGAACCGACGCCTGAATCGGAAGGGTGTCGTTGGTGGGAGAAAGAGGGACGACGGGGGGAAGAACTGGGTTTGGATGATGTGGGTGGTGTGGATGATGGTCCGCCGTGAACAGATGATCCTTTGGTGGATGATGTGTAGTGAACTTTCTTGACGGGTTTGGAGGACATGCTGATGGTTCTTGTGTTCTTGTACTTGTACTTGTACTTGAGTACGATGTGTGTAACCCCAAGTACCTTTGTATGCTCCGAATGGAAACAATCAATTCGTACTCGCACGTTGTGTTTTCCGATCCGACGATCTTACAATGTAATGTGATGGATGAGAAAAGACAGGAAGATGATTGGATGAGAGGTTGGGTATTGATGTAGTAGAAACTAATCTATTCTTCTTTGCTGATATGATATGATATGATATGATATGATATGTAATGAATAAATGTTACCGATTCGACAATGGTTCTTTGCAGATGAGATAGATAGGTTTGGATGGGATGAGATAGGAGTGGAGAGATGAGATGAAAGATCGAATCAATTACCGGATATCAAATGAAATATATAGGTAGGAATAAATACTCCCAAGCTATACGTATATATACCATAGCCATTATAATAAATACATTATAGCTATGCTATATCAATCAGGAAGGCATCTGAACGAACTGAATATAAGAAGGATCAATAAACATATGACTCCTTTTCTTTGAAATCTGATTATTAGTGTAATACTTTCCAAAACCTGCCTACTCTGCCTACAATAATACCAGGTTTCCCAAAAAAAAACAAAAACGAAAGAATGACATTTCTCATTTCTGCCTTGATACAATCCCCCAATCACAGCCTCAAATGAACCAGGGTAGCTCTCTTTTTCTTTTCTTTTCTTTTCTTTTCTTTGCGGCTCATGGCTTTCACTGGGGGGTAGAAAAGGATTGTTTTTCTCACCGAGATGATCATCCTGTTGTGCATATTTTGGACATGGGTGGTTTAGTGGATGTGGTGTAGTTACTGTATAGTGTGGTTGTCCTGATTTTGTTTATTCCTTCTGGGCTTTGGCTTGTGCAAGTATAGTACTTGTAAGCCAAATCCAAATCCAATCTAATCCAATCCAAAACAACAAGATCAAGATTACTTACTTACTAAGTTATTATACCTTTCTAGCCCCCAAACTTACTCTATCTCAAAGCTTTACTTTGTAATGATTCATCCATCAAAAGATGACTCACTCAAATTCCCCTACCCCCCTACCGCTATTTTCACAGCTACTGAGTACTTCACAGCTAACCTCCTTCACCTATCCATCTAATTGGTTAGCGAAACAGTACAGACAAACAGACAGGGCCTTATAAACTTCTACCCTAGGAAAAAGGGGCAGTGTCAAACAAAAATGTTTCTGTAGCCTTATCGGAATTAAAATGCTTTTTCTTTCTTTCTTGGGATTGGATTAGATTGGATTTTAGGGTCTAGGGATTTTCATTTCGCAATCGACCTTAAAGAACGCCAGGGCAGACTGCCAGTATATCCAAGAGTTGAATTATTTCATGGATTAGTTTGGGCTATGCCTATTGTATTTGTTCACGATTGTTAATCAATGATTAGATTTCCTGAATACAGTAGATTCTATTGGTGGATTGGATTAGGAGCTGATACGATACAGTAAGTTAAATGTCTCTCGGTGAAGAATTAAGGTATTTTCCGATGTGATAGTGTTGTTCACTATACGCTCGCCGTATAGTTATTACGATTAGATTAGTCTTTGGATTAAACTAAAAAAGGCCTAGGCTTAGTTTTACGAAAAGAGGGATGGTTGAGCTGCGAAGATATAAATTTTTGAGATATACCTAGTGAATACAGATTAGAGAAAAGAAAGTTTTGCATAATGATGCGGGGTGGCTGCATAAAGGGGTGGGTGGATAGACTACTCGCCAATACATTGTTTTCAAGTAATAACATTGTTTGTACAAACACAATTTCGAGAATTATATTGTATTACTTTCTTTTATTCTTTTATTCCTTTTTCTTATCTAATCCAATTATATCTAATCCTTAATCTCTAAACTTGAGCCCTAACAAAGTAATTGTTTGTCTTGATTCATCTATTCTTCAATAGATATACTCTCAATATACAAACCAAATCCCACCTATTCTTTATATACCAAATACATTATATCTTTCCTCATTCTAGTATTGTGAACCTATAGATATAGACAGGTTACAGATATGAGTAGATATAATCATCAGGGAAATTAATCTCTGAATATGATTTATTAGCGGGTGTTGCCTGATGATAAACATTGATATGAATGGATGTGACTGTGAATGTAAATGTGGCGTATTTTACATCATATTATTCGCCCTCTATGGATTGTTTGCTTTCCCCTCTATTTCGTCTGAACTCATTTGATGTACTTCGTACATTGATGAATCAAAATGCAAGTCACTTAATCCCTCAAATCCATCACAGCATCTAAAATTTGACATTGGCATTTACAAATCATGCCAGAAACAAAATCCACCCCACTCTCCCCTCCCCTCCCCCCTCAAACCCCCTCAACACGATACCCCTTCGCAACCAACCACCTCCTCAAATAATCCAACTTACTATCCTTCTCCTTAACCCTCCCATTCAACACCCTAACCCTCTCCTCCAACCCCTCCACCTTAACAACCATTTCCTCCAACCTCTCCCTCAACCCCTCTTCCACCAATATCCCCCTCCCCACCACCCCCCTCCTCATCAACCCCACCCTCTCCACCAATTCTCCCACCTCCCTCTCTTTTTCCCTATTTTCCCTCTTCAGCTTCTCCTTCTCTACCTTCAATATGCGTACCCTCTCCATCCATTCCCCATTATCACATATTAGCTGCCAGTTTTTGCCTTTGAGGGTAGCGAGTTCGGTATGGAGGGACGTAGTAATGGCATGGAGTTCGGCGTTGCGTTCTTCGAGTTCATTTGCTATTTCGCGGGTGGTGAGGCGGGGTTGGGAGGAGGAGCGATGGTGTGGATGGAGATGGGGATGGGAGTGAGAACGAGAACGAGAACGGGAGGGGGAGCGGAGAGTAATGCGTTCGTGGATGTGGCCGTCGCGTTCAAAGTAACCGCGGGAGCGGGGGCGGGGGCGGTCGTGGGACATTTTGAGGGTGGTGAGCTTTTGTCAAAGAGATGAAAGAGTGGACAAGTTGAAGGTGGATGATGACCTAGTGAAGAATAGGTGGAGATATTGCGGTTGTGTTGAGTGGGTTTGTAATTTTTTGTAGGATGAGCAATAATATCAACTATATCTCAACCACTCTGAGATGTGAATGATCTTCGCGATAGATATTGACTGGTATGAAGAATATGCAAGTATGACTGCAGCCTATGATCTGCAGCTCAGGAAGTATTTATGTAGTGTAGAAACAGTATTGAACAATGCTTTTTATTTCTTGGACTGAACAAGGCTAGAATGTATGTATAGCTGCCTATACCCATAGGACTCATACGCACAGCGGGTTAGGCATGGGTAGATTAAAAAGATTTATGGTATATCTAACGGGTAAGTGAAAAGAGCCTCGTGGAACATCATATTATATGCCAAGATATTATGTTTTTATTATGACATGGACCTAAAAGCAAAATCAATACTAACAAGGCTACAGAAGAGAGTTCGGAGTATCGTAAAGCATCTATTGCCTCGGATTCTATCTTTTGCATAGAGTGCAAAGACCGGAATAGAGAAAAGCCTCGTTTACTATACCTCAATTCTCACATGTCATCTGGACCGATATCATTCATACTCAACAAAGCAAACAGCAAACTATCCGTGCATAAGTGTATGCAAGCCATTGTATACACTAGTTCAAGAGAAACTTCTCGCCACATCTTCAACGAAACGCACAGAAAGAAACAAGGTAAAAAAGAAATGTTTCACCTGCCTTGTCATACCTAGTATCTTATCACTCCTTCACAAATTCCCACACCAAAAAAAATTATGCGTACCCCCCAACCAACCTCTTCTCCTCTATACAAAAATCCAACTCAGGAACAGAAGTGTCCCAAAATCACCAGCCACTCAGCTGTCCAAGGATACATGGTTGGCTGAGAGGATTCTACCCCTCCCGAACGCTTGCGGGAACTAATGCTTCATTCTATCCAATAGTAATAATTCCATGACCTTCACTCCAAACGAAAAGTGTCAGAATATCGCATATTACAAGCCCTTCTGACTATAAGGATGTGGAGTGGCTGTGCGGACCTCAAAGGTAAGGCTGAGGCGTAATCATCCTTTCGGAATTTCCAGACGTCATTTGTAAAATGTCTTGTAAGAACGAGTTGATGAATATTGCTGAGGTGAGATTTCCTAAAGCATAGTTTGCTTTCGGAATTTCTAACAAGCCACTTCAAACAAGCCACTTCACGAAATGAAATCCCCAAACTTTCAGCCACGAAAGAGTTTTCTATCACATACAATTGTAACGTTGAAAAGAAAGATCCCGTGGCTTGCCAACTTAGTTACCAATGCGGCGAAGTCAGACTCGGACCAGTCGTTCGAAATGGGCTCGGTGGTCATAATCAAGAAGCGGTATTGAGAAGAAACACGTGGGAAAGTTCTGCAAGGCAGATTTGGTGATAAGACTGGGTGTGTGGGTGTGAGGGTGAGTTCAATGATAAGACTCGAAGTATATGATGGTGTTCGTAGTGCGAGACATAAGAGATGAGAAATGAGATATCGATGGGTGTGTCGGAGACAAGTTCTCGTCTGACGTTGTTGTTGGAAGTCTTGTTCCCAATCGTGGCTTTGTGTTTGTTGGGTATCAATTGATTCGATCAGACCATCGGGCTTGAAAAGATTACTTCAAGTAAAGCTCAAGTGAAGAGGAATCGATGTTCCTAGTCCTGGAGAATGAAGGTGGATGAGGCTGTACTCATCCTTCCTTGTACATGCGAAAACCTGGAGATGCATTAGACACGTGAAGGTTCAGCATCAGCCACACGTGATTGAAGATTAATTATGCATGCACAACGCCCATGCATCTACTAGAGTCTTGCATAAATCCCTCATTGCATCGACAACACAACGACACAGCTCAATCTTACATACATAATGATCATTCCCTAATCTACCTAGGTACTTAAAGGAAAAGATTCCACATACCACAATCTCCGTTTTCTCCTTGAGTTTGTATAACATATGGCGGTCTAGCGGCTAATCATATAAATTACACGCTGAGTTTCAGATGAGATGCAGTGCCATACCATACCATACCATACCATGCTATGCGGGTTATCAAGAACTGCGCATCGATTCATCTATCGCAACATTGTCCAGCCGTCATCTTCTGCACCACAATCAATGCTTTGAATTGGATGATGCAGCCACAACCGATCATAATCTAGCCAGGAGAAACTTTCATGAGGCTCGTATAACAATATGTGGAAGCCCCCTAGGATCATTAGAGTTAGTTTCGTTACCGCCTTTTGATATTTGCTAATGCGGGTACAGTATCTGAGCGGGCGGGGCGATTAGATTCTGCATGCACATTTCACTTCGCCTTGATGATATGTCTTTAATGTTGAGATGATGCGATATCAGTTCGTAGAAGTGTTGTATATGATAAGCGGTGAATGATGCTTTGGTGTAGAATTTGGGGGCGAGCTGAGAGTTATGTAGAAGGCTCGAGTGGAAAACTCTCATTTTTATCTGGTTGCCGTCGCAGCGTTGCACATGTAGTTCTGAGTAATAGTAACCTCTAGTGGCCAAAAGATTGCGCGAATTGTACTTTTGAAAGTCGTCAGGGTGTTGAACGAGCAATGGTATTGAAACTTTGGATGAACACTCCTAGATGACCCAAATTATACACTGGAAAATAGGATCAAATCGGTAACAATTTTACTATTAACACATTACCTCAGAAAAAAACATACAGAACAGGTGATGCCAAAGATGTACAATCAGAATACTTCCCTTGCCAATCCCGCAATTGGTGTATAAACCTTTTTTCAAACAACGTCAAGTATATGACGATAGTTCGCAACGTTGATATGACTAAATATAACGCAATACATTATACTCAGAAAAGTCCCACTTGGGGATATATGAGAGTAACGAAATTTGAAAAGAGTTCATAACATAAGTAATATCAAAGAGACAAAATCCGCAGAAGCAATTCAGACAACATGGCTGTTGAACCGATCAATCCAATAAGAATATCAGCAACTCAAGAATCGAATGTATTGCCATTGTAGGAGAAAACGGTCCCACATTGTTATTGAATATAATTCCATCATAGGAGGAAACAATTCCACATTATTATTGACACTGTCACGCTGATCAAGATAATCAAATTCGACTCTATGAAGCAGTACCCAAGACCTGCCTACTACATAGAACTCCAAACTCCGCAATATACCTTCCAGTAATTTTTCCCATTCAATTTGTCTTCATAACGCAAGACAAACACTCAAAATATTGTTACTACTCATATTGGAATCTGGCACCTTTTCCCTAGCGGTGATATAATCTGTAAGTTACATCGCGTTTGGGTTTGGTATCTGTCAAAATGTCAAATTCGTTTGAAATTTAAAGATGATGAAATATCAATGTTGTGTTATAGAGTATGTATGTGATGACAATCTTATTCACTCGAGTATAGGACGGATATGTCTTGAGTAAATTCTGTATATTGGGATGTATCGAGAGATGTACAAACTACGAGAGATTCTCCAGCCGAGAATTACTTGTCCTTGATTGTAGCAATTGGATTTTGATGCCATAAGTCCTTTCTTCACTTGACTTGAGATATACGAGTATATGTGGATTGATATTGAGAAATCTAAGGATTTTCGATGGAAGTTATGAGCTTGATATGATCAAAATTAACTGTATGATGAGAAGATTTGATATCGAATAATTATCAGTATAATATAAATTTAATATAAATGAAACAATGGAAGTTGCATGAGTAAGCATTCATATACTCGAGTATATAAGATTACAAAGGTGATTTCAATTTCGATCGATCCAGATATACGAGATGGAAGCAGACATAATTTAATTGAGTATATAAACTGTCTAGCACTAGCTAGCCTTATCTTACTCAAGTATATATCTTCTTCCTTCAACCGTTCAACACACCAAATATCAATCACCATCACCATCACCATCACCATTACCATTACCATTACCACAGAACCCCAATCCAATCCAATCCAATCCAACCTACAATCCAACCCATCCTAATATATATACAACACAGTACCCCAAAACAGAAAACAGAAAACAACAATACCAGTACCATACCAAACTAAAAAGGAGAAAAGAAGGGGGAAAAATAAACATAAAGTAAATTCTCACACCTACCTAGGTACCTACATGACTCAAGCCCAAAAAACTAGAAAGCACTAGCGCTGTCAACCATTGAACATCTCGTACGTACATACTTGCGGCACCAAGTTCTCATATCCTTCAAAGCATTTCATGAAATGAATTGAATTGAATTGAATCAGTTGGATCAAATCAATCTCAACTCTCATACCCGTACTGAAATATATATTATTTCGCTACAGTATTTCTGAGTTTTGAAAGACTAGAATAGGGGAGGGAAGTAAGGGTAGGTAGGTATCCATACTATAGGTATTTTTATCATGGCATAACAATAACCATACAATACAGTACAGTACAGTATGATATGGTATGTCCCAAAACTCCATCTATGATATCCCCAAACCCATTATGAGGTTATCCTCGTCTCGCTCCGCCTCTGTCGGGAAAAGCGACGAATCTTAGGACTAATAAGAGTGCCCCAACCCCCCCATCCACCGCTCGCACGTACACACACATACACACATACACACTCACACCGCACACACCCAATAGATAAACACACCACACATACCTGACATGAATCAAGACAAGACAAGTTCACCACAAGAACAAGAACCCTGACTCTCCTTCCTTCCGCATCCAAAAAAACATTCCGCATCAATTAAATGTCCATCTTGGATCTACCAGTGATGTGCAATTATCCATGCACATATTTCTCATTCTCTCATTCTCTCATTACTGCATACTATTGAATAGATGTAGCGGTACGGTCTAGATACCGGTAATCAACCCCATCCCCATCCATATCCCCATCCATATCCCCATCCATATCCCCATCCAAAAACCCAAGAACCCAAGAACCTAAGAACCCGGTAAAGAGACGCGGATGAAACATTCCCTTCCATACCAGATACACACTAACACCTACTCCGCACAGGGGATGTCGATCATCAATGTCGATCATGCGGCATATCTGATGTGGGGTATGGAGTCCCCAGGTATCATATCATATCACAGTAGATCGAGTATTACTCGTACATTTATATTTCTCCGCATTTTGGTTTTGTGCATGTTGTTATCTTATTTACCTTTTCTGTACTGTACCGAAGATGAATGAACGAACGAATGAACGAATGAATGAATGAACGAATGAATATATTGCGTTAAGGAGAGGAGAAGGTAGCTAACTACCTAGCTAGCTGCCCCATCTCTTGCTCGGGGATTCTTACCGGTGTATGTAGATCTTCCTGTTCATGTACTCGAGTATGTATGTATGTATGTACTCGAGTAAGTAGCATATCATGGCTTCAAGAAGGTAGTATATGAATCCCCTTTCCCTCTGTAAATCTTTTCATTTCTTCATTTATTCTTTTCTCCTTCTTCTCTCATTCCTATCTCCATCTATATCTCCATCTCCATCTTCATCTCTATCCTATACTATACTCCCCACCAAAATGGCAAGCACAACCCACCACGACCAAATTCGCCCGCAATCCCACCCCAATTTTCACTCTCACCCACAATCGCACCCCCTCTCCCACCTCCACAGCACCTCCTCCTCCTCTCCATCCACCACCTCACCCCCAACAATCCTCTACCCCCCCTTCGCCGGCGCCCTCCAACCCGGACTCTACCGGCGACCCAAAAAAGATCTCGCGAACCCCACTCCTCTAGGCCTCTCAGCCTTCGCCCTCTCCGTCTTCGTCCTTAGTCTTATCAATTGGCACACGAAAGATGTATCTCAGCCGAGTATTATTATTTCCTTGTCGTTTGGATATGGGGGGTTGATTCAATTGCTGGCGGGGATGTGGTACGTTTATTTTGAATTTCTTTTGATTTCTGTTCTTTTTTCCTATCTATATTGTTGGTGAATAGAGAGAGATAAAGATGATGACTGACGAAGAATATAAATATAGGGAAATGGCTGCGGGGAATACTTTTGCGGCTACGGCTTTGAGTTCTTATGGGGGATTTTGGATTTCTTTGGCGATTATTTTGACGCCGGGGGGATTTGGAATTCAGGCTTCTTATGATGATCCTAAGCATTTTAGTTATGCATTTGGATTTTTCCTTATGGTATTTGACCCTCCTTTCTTTCTCCCTTCCCTTCCCTCCCCTTCACTTCCCCATTCCACACCCATCCCCTCCCCTCTCCACCCCATCCACCCACTTACCACCCACTAACACCTCTTCCCCCAGGGCTGGTTCATATTCACCTTCCTCCTCTGGATCCTCACTCTCCGCTCCACCGTTGTCTTCTCCTTCCTCTTCTTCACGGTGCTCCTCACCTTCCTCTTCCTCGGTCTCGCCTACCTATATCCGACTGCGGCCGCAGCTCCCAATCTCGCGCTTCAAAAAGCCGGGGGGATGACGGGGTTACTGGCGGCGTTCGCTGCGTGGTATGTGGTATTGGCGGGATTGGCAGATGATTCGAATAGTTTCTTTACGGTCCCTGTGTGGCATTTTCCTTGGAGTGAGAAGGGGAGAGAGTTGAGGAAGGTCAGTACGAGTGAGAGTCTGAGTGATGGGGGGGAGAGGGGGAGTGTGGGGAGTGAGGTGAAGGTGGGGGAGGGGGGGGTGTAGGGGTTGTTGGGGTTTGGAATGGCTAGATTGGATGGAGATGAGTGAGTGTGGATATAGAAGTTGATACCAGGAGGTTGATGAAGATTGTAAGAATATAAAGTTAGACACCAATCGATATCAGAAGGTCGATAAAGGTTGTAAGAATACAATTAGATATAAGAAATTAATAAAGATTATAAGAATTTGAAGTTAGATACCAATCGATACTAGAAGATTGATGAAGATTGTAAGAATTTGAAGTTAGATACCAATCGATATTAAAAGATCGATGAGTGTAAATTTATAGTTAAATATATAGGAGATTAATAAAGATTGTAAGAATTTAAAATCAGATGCCACAATTCTGTTTGTACAGCCAGCCATATCAGAACAAAATATGAAACTTGAGAAGAAAAGATGAGATATTTGAATAATCAAATGTTTGTACCAGTATTACAAACTTCTCTCCGTTCCAATACATATATCAAATCAATAGTGATGGATGGATAGAATCAATTATATCGACTATACAAATCTGGATTGGATAAGGTGGCAGGTCTCTCTCTGTGTTGGTGAAATTATCTATGCTTTCTGGCGCCACATGTAAGAGGCTAATTGTTGGTGACTGGTGGCTGGTGATTACCCCAACATTTAATCTGTGAGAAAAAGTCTGTCGTGAAAAATGGGCCATTGCCGCACATCTCATTTAACTGATTTTTTCATCATTTCCTACCTGGTCTTGCAATTCTCAAATCTGCGGCAGATGTGTATGTAGCAATTCCCATTCGAAGTTTCATACATGTTATGAGCGACAATTACATCAGCATAGGGAGATTCATCCATATCTAGAACACTGGCATATAAAATCCAAAACTCATCCCAATCTCCCACTTTCCCCCACATACAGAAATCTCTTCTTCACACCCCAGCCAAAAAAGCCAGATATGTAATGAAAAAAAAAAACGTTGAACTGGTCAGACGTCCATCAACACCCACCCCAATTCAACGACCGAAGTCAATCAAAGAGGGGTCGAGATCATCACCACTTTCTATACATCTTCAACTCGTGATGAGAAGAAAACGTTATTCTCACCGAAGTGAGAATAAATCGAAAGCAAAAACGGTTTCACTCTAGGGTATCGAGGATCGGCTCATCGTCCCAGTTGGAGTCTGTGGCTGTTGTAGAGAACACAGAAGGAGATGTTTACTAAAGAAATGATTCTTTGACTGTTGAATTTGTTAGTTAAAATGAAAAAAATGCTGGGGGGGGGTTGGACTAACAGTATAGATCTAATTTCTTCATACTTCGGGGAGGGGAGAGTTTATATAGATATTTTGGAATGGTGTGCGTTGGCTGGCTGGACTAGTGTATGTGAGCAAATAGGACAAACATGAAAAAATTTGCAGGTAGGTGGGGCTGGGTCATCTTCTTTTGATATAACAGCCTTGTAATTAAGGATATATGTAATCTTAGCCTCGGTGAGGTGACGGATATTTTTATTCGGTTTATCGGCTTTAAACCAGTACGGGTACAGTACTTACCTACTCTCTCATCTCACCTTCTCTGGAAGTCTGGACTCTGGACAAGTTTATTCTTTTGCATTAGGTATACCCAGGTATTTTTCCGTAATATAATATAATCTTCAACTACTCGAGTATTGTATTCATCATTGTTATTATTATGTATTACAGAAGAAATGACACTCTAGTCTATTACAGTAACTTCAGCTCTTGTTTGGAATATCTCGGAAGGAGTTCGATCCATTGTTCAATATATATACATATACTCGAGTACTCTGAATCTAGCCAAGCATGTATAAGCCCGAATTCGAAACTCACGATTATTTGTTAAGAGAAATAGTAAGATAGATAGGTCTGAGTTATCAATTAATATCTAAGTCTCTACGAGTATAGATCCTGATAATAGACATCGACATCTTGCCTCGCTTGAATCTATTCTTTTATACTCCTAGATCCTACTCGAGTAACTATCAAATTATCAAAAGGATTAATATAATTGATTCATAATAGCACAATTATTATCATCTATAGTAATACTGATTATACTTATTAAATTCCTTATATTCTGATATATGAGGGGAATCACTATAATTTTATAAGTTACTCGAGTATATATAGTACTTGTCAAAATGTAACTTGGTTATATGCAGTATCTAAATCTTTTGGGAGAAATAATAATAGTGTCTGAGGATCTGGGATCTGGTATTGGATTGGTATGTGTAGTTTGTAAGGGTGTTGATTGGGAGGGGCGAGGGGGTTGAGTAAGGGGAGAAGGAGGAGGGAAATTCGCTGGGTGAGGTGGTGATCGGGGGCTGGGCTGTGGGTGTGAGTGGAGGTGCGAGGGGACATCTTAGTTCTGGGGTTGGGGTTGAGGTTTGGGTTTGGGGAGGAAAGAGAGGAAGGAGATTTAGAATACGAAGATATGGATGGATGAGAAGATGAGGTGAAATGAATGAGTTTATTAATATGTTTGAGTTCTTTGGAATTGTGTAGTTGATGCCGGGGTAGCGATATAGAGAATGTTGAAATAGAAATCGAAATGGAGTATAAGATTGGGGTTGAGGTTGAGATTGAAGTTTAAATAGGTGTCTAAGTATGGTATACTCGAGTAGATAGGTACGGGCTTACTTGGGATCATTATGAAATTAACTTATATTGTATAGAGTAATTGTGTAATACTTTAGTCGAGTCATATATAAGCGAGTAAGTTATATGTAGAGCCTGAGTGAAGGAGGAGATGGATAGATAGATTGGTATCTATAGTCCTATAAATTGAATCGTATATTGGCATATAGAATTATTATAACTTACAAGACGGGAGAGGAGAATCAGAGATAAGGAGAGGAGAGAGAGGAGAAGAGGGATGCTATATAATTAGTAATACATCAATAACGAGGAAGAGAAGAAGAAACCCATAGAAGAAAACCAAAGAAGAGCAAGCACAAAGAGAAGCCGCGCTGCGAAGAAGAATAAGAGAAGATATCTAAGCTAATGAGTCCAAGTGGGCTAGATAGTGCTAGGCTGTATAATCTGTCTAATATATTATGTATACGACTATATCATATTATAAAGTTCCATTCGTAATAGCCTGAGATGTATGTATACTACTACCCTCTTTCTGACTCAATATAATGACTTCTTTTTTTTGTAAGATCATTTCTCGATTCTTTTCTGAGATAGAAGTTTAATTAGTGTGACGGAACAGACGGCTCTCTTCCGCCCACTGGCTTATACTATATATATAGCATAATACGACAGCTCTCTTAGACCTTCCTTTCACAGTTTAAAGCCCTAGCTCTATAGCTCTAGACCTAAGCATTATACAATACTTATCTCTAGGACTCTTTCACTCTTCCGGGCCTAGTCTTTATGGCTCCTAAATACTTATATATATAATCTTTCTTTTAGTATTTTATATAGTTTTTCACTTGTAGATTCTAAATATATAATCGGAGTCCTATTTATACCCTTTTTATCACATTATCTACAAGTCAATATTTACAGCTATGATTAGGAATAGTTGTTAAATTTATCCAAATCTCTTTTTCAAAATTAATATTGATTATATCGATACTATCTAGAAGTAAAGAATTTGTATTAATCGATAACCTCAGATTTCTATCAAAAACTTTAATAATACAATAGTTCTTTCAAAAAAGAAAGGTCAAAGTGATACTCCTGGTTCTAGCAATAGAAAAAATCAGTGTGATTTACTCAATTATAAGTATAACATTATTAGTACCCCTCTTGGATTTGTAAAAACCATTGATACCCTTCGTCATTCTCTTTTTCCCTTTTTTAGATCATTACTTAATAACAATCCTATACTTCTCCTTTAATGAAAAAGATACAAAAA